AAGCATCTCAGCACAAAGTCCAACTGTCACAAAAATGGCTATTTTACCCATTGCTGATTGACTTCACTTTTTCATCTGCTCAAACACCCTCTGACCTCAAGCAGAGGGCACCTGGCCATCCCAAAAGACATTTCTTCAGCAATACCTGCTTCAGTTCCTTTTGCGACTCTTCGACTTTTATCTTCCATTTACTCTCTTCCTCTTCCACGCTCCTCTGTAGCCTTTGCAAAATCCCCTCCTAGGAAGAGGGCGAGAACATGGAGAGTTTGAGCACTGCATCAGGAGGGAGGCAGCCCCGCAGAGCCCAAGCGGGCACACGGGTCACTTACTGTCTCTGCCAGGACTGACTTGTACTTCTCACAGTCCAGCTGCAACAGCGCGTTCATTCCCTCAGCCTCCTTCAACTTCTGCTCCATAGCCTGCCAAAGGAGAAGGGAGACCAGCAGAGTTACAGCCCAGCTCTCAGATTTGAGCTCTACTCTTTAGCTTATGGTCACAAGCTGTTATTTACATCAGCAGGTTTCCTTTCCATCCCACGCAAAGGCACCAATATCAAGTGCAGCTTTTCACTATCCAGTCACAGCCATCTCACAAGTTACTACAGTCACTTGATGACTGCCTGACAACAAACCATATACTTGGAAAGGGATCAGGGATTTTTATTTCATTAACGTTTTCACAACTCCATAAGGTCCTTCTAGGATTTTCAAATACGTTCCTTACTTACAAGATGCAAATACTTATACAAGTTTTCTTATCAGCTGTTAACTCACAGGAATCTCGCAATGCAGAGCACGTTTAATGCTATAGATCTTGGAAATCATGCCATGTACAAGAAAGCTCTTCATTACTCGTGCTTACCTTGACCTCTTCAGATCCTGAGGCTCCTCTCAGATATTCTTCAGCCATTTTTTCAAACCCACACATCCATTCCCTATGACTCTGTTGGGAAATACACTGTTAGGGCTACAAGCAACCTCAATAAATGTATCCTCAGCACATCTGCCTCGCAACTGCAGGATTATGGAAGAGCATTTCAGCACTCAAATTCCCTGAGCTAACGCACTCCAAGAGTTGTTCATCCAGCACCGCGCACGGCCGAGCCGAGCTGACAGCCCACGGGCAGCAATCCAGGAATACAAAGTACAGGAGAGACACAGCTCATAAGGTTTGGAGCTACTGAAATCCAGCTGGGTCACAAAGGTCCACCTGCGAGTGCCGGGGCTCTATGACAAATATTTGAAGACTTAGAAAAACGTTTTCCAAAAATCCATGAATAGTTAAAGTGGACTCTTTCAATGGGTTTTCAGGAAATTCACCAGGAAGATGGATTGTTTTAAAAAAAGAAAAGAGCGATTTTTTGGGACATCATGACACTACCTTCAGAACATGGAGAATATTTAAGTAGGAGTATTCAAAAGTTCTTTAGGGCACGTTACAAGTCAACCCCAGAGCTGCATTTCTAGCCCCTGCTCACAACAGTCACAGAACCTAAACCAGGCAAACGCACGTTTCCTTCACAAGTCACCGGGAACGCAGAACTGCAAGTCAGGGATTTTCAAAGAGACTCTGAGAACAAAATTCACACTTTTGAGCTACATTAACTGCCCTAGAGGCAGTAAGGCCCCTGGGAAAAGGATGTTCAGCAGCTATTGGGAAAGGAGATTCCCACTGCTCCTAGACGGGGAATAAACATCCAGCAGACTATCTGCTCTTGAAAGTTTACTGCCTTAGAGACAAGATAACACAAGCAGATGAAACAGATGATAGTGAGGTAAAAAAAACAAGATAACGGTAACATGATAGGATGGGGGCTGTTGTCTTTTTTAAACACTTTTCTTAATGTAATTGTCTGTTCTTAGAGCAAACTTTTTGCTGCTGGCAGGTACACACGGGGCCAGCAGAAAAGAGTCATTTCCCTCTGCAAATACCTTGGGGCAAAAAGGGACTGGTTTAGTGCTCAGGGGTGCCCAGCGCATCTGGATCCCGAGAGCTGCTTCTCTTACCACGTTCGAAGGAAGGGACATTTTCGGGAAGAGCTTCTGGAGAAGTTCTCGCGTCTCCATCTCTGCAGCTTCCAAATGCTGCTGCCTCTCCTAAACCAAGAGAAGGGCTCACATGAAGCTGGGAAACACACTGCACCTGGCAACACCCTCCTCTAGGCCTAAAGTCGAACGTAGAAAAGTCTTTTTTGAGTGAGAAAGGCTCTACCTTCTCTAAATTTGCCAGTAGCTTGCTTCAAAAAATGACATTAAATTGCTTCAGATTTTGGCCTTCACATTTTTTCATGCTTTTTAGCTATTACCCATCGCATCCAAACCAGCTTGTTCCTACAGATTTTACACCACCATTTACAATACAAATTAACTTGTGCTGAGTAGCTGTATTCATAGATCACACCAACCCTTGCACTCAAATACACTGAGCAAGATCTCACAAACAAGAAGTTTGTCTGATCAACATTTAAAGAATATATACTTGTTCTAAACAAATTTCTGGTGGAAAAAAAAATCACTATAAATCAACATCACTACATTAAAACAGAATTAAAGTCAAAAGGAAAATTTGTGTCAATGCACATTTGAACCAGGCCAAGAAAGCAATATTGTATCTTATAAATATTACTGTTAAGTGCTTAACAGGGAGACCCTCACATCCTCCTTCCCCAAGCTTGGATGGAATGGGTAGTAATTATTAGAGCTGTGTGACAATCTCCAGGTTTGCTCTGTCATCGCTCTGCAAACTAAAAAAAGATCCACAGAGCCACGAGACACCACAGATCTCTAGTTACTTTGAAATTTATTTAGCATTAAAAGACAACCAGCCCGGGGATGTTTGTTTGCTGTGCTTGTGGCGGACAGGCTTATTTCACTCTACGCGCATTACACTGGGGCTCCAAGTTTAAGTTTAAATATAGAGAGCTGGGACCCCTATATGCATAAGGCAACCTTCACGGTACATCCCTCACTAGTATTTGATTTTATTTAATGTCAGTGTTACTGAGTTACTTGGTGCTCTGAGTTCCTCTACTGCAAGAGCCCGCAGCGGCATTAGTAGGTTGAGATGCAGAGACAGAATCAGACAGGAGACATCAGGCTGCAGAACTGGGCTAAGTGTGTTAGTTTGGGGCAACTCAGGCTGTTTAATCAAAATCTTTAGATTGCAAGAGAAAACAGACAAGCATTTAAGACACAGCAGAAGCAGTTACACAAATTCTCCAGACACTGGACTGAGGCCAGAGTGGAGACTTGGAAATACCAAAAGTCTTGGAAACACCAATATGTAAGCCCAAGGCAGCGCTCATCTGCTCCTGGCTGCATGACTTGCATTTTAAGGTTATTTTGATGCTTTTTGAATTTTGCACGATGACAATTAACACCAGATCAGGCTCGTAACAAAAACGAGCGCTTTGCGGAACAACTCGCTCCCCGTATCGCTCCAACCACCGGGTCTGACAGGCCCTGTCCAGGTGCTTCCAAGGAACAAATTCACTGCTGTGAAGTTCCTTTACTTTACTGAGAAGCTCCCAGGTTCTTAAATAATGATCTCATCCCAGTTCTTCATGGGTCCACTAGATTTATTCAAGCCCAGAGAAAGGCCGGTAGATGAAAGCAGGCTGCTCACCAGCACAGCTCCTTCCGAGGGCTCCCCACAAAGAGAAGAGATTCACGACAGCTCTAACAATTATGCAAACAGAAATCAAATCAGCAGGCCCACAAATTAAGGAAAAATAAAAGAAACCTAAAGACGACAGGAAGAAGCAAAGGTGAGAGTATATGAATGATCACTCAGAACAGACTATATTTAAACTGCAGTAAAAGTTAAATGCCCCCATCTGATTAAAAAAAAAACAAACAGCTGCAGATCTGCTTCTAGCTTAATGCATCATTTCTAGCGGTTAACATTACAACCTTGGCAGTCTTGTTCACTTTGTCCTGCAGCATTTTTTCAGTTGATGCCAATGCTTCCATTGCTTTCCAGTTTTTCTTCCGAAGCTCCTAATCATTTTTAGAAAGAATGATTTCAGTTCAGCCAATATTCAAACTGTTTCCGCTTTTACTTCAGAGAGATATTTTGCATTACAACCCATCATTTGCATTTAAATGCTGGTTACTGCAAGATGATTTTGCTGGGCAGGATGACGTACACTAGCGAAAATAGGAGCGATGCTCAAGAGTTTGAATGAAAAAAGGAGAAGTGCCAATTTCTGCCCAGTAGTTCCCCATATCTAAAACCAATGCCAGGGTCACCGAGCAGCTGAGCGCTCACAACTCCACACTTTGACTGCACTTGTGAGAAGAAAGAGGGAAGTGTTCAAAAAGTAGTGAGGAACACAGACACCAAACCACAGATTGCACAACAGAGTGTTAGGCATGTCGCGGTGCAGACCCCAGAATGGACCCCAATACACATGGCAGCGTACAACATTTACGCCTCCATCCTGCCACTGGATCCCGCTGCGGAGATCCTTGTGCCTCAGCACAGCCCTGAAAAGCCAGGGCTGCCCGGGGAAACACAAAGTTTTGGGATGTGTTTTGCAGCTTTTACCACCCCCCGGAATTAAAACACCGGCTCTCCGGGCAGTGCCTGGAAGGCTCGGGGACGTCGCCGGCGACGAGGGCAGCGCGCGGACGGCGCCGTGTTCTGCTCCCGTGTCTTTCTTGGCAAGGTCATCAAACGTGTACGCCACAAGATGCCATCATGCAAGCTCACAGTTATTAGCCTGAGCGCCTTGAGGCTGAAAACTCTTTAAAATAAACAAATAAATAAAGGAACTGCCTCACTGTTGTTATCTAGGAAGGATGGTGGCCTTGTGCGGGGGAGATAATGGGACTTTGATTTTTCCTCTCTCTGAACTCTCAGCAGCCAGCTTCAGGAAAGGACTATTTTGAAACAGCTGCACCTTTTTATTCGCCGCACTAAGCATCCAAATCCAAGCAGGTCCCTACACCAGTTCTGCTTCCTTGATTTTTTTTTCCTGCCTAACCTATGAGTTCTTCCACTGAACAGGGCGGGAGGAAAATGGTTAAAAACCACCACATGGAAAGCTGGGATTTACAGGCATGTTCTGCCTTTAGCAGCAGCCAGTTTCGTGCCTGCATGATGAAGGGCACTTAAACCTTGCAGTTCCCTGGGAAACGAGCCCATGGGAAGTGCACGTACACAGTCTGCCTGCCCAGTCATCAATCTTCCAAAACTACCTAACCACTTTCCCTCTACTCTAATTCAGCTCTTAAGCTGCATTACTTGCTCAAAAGCCAACAGCAACACACTCTCAATATTTTCCTTCTGTCTTTCTTACACACTGGGTCATTTTTTTTTAAGTCTATATGGCTTATTGTGTGGTATTTGCTGGCTTTTGTAGGCTATCAAGTAAAGAAAAATGAGCTAAACACACTCTATTTTAATAACCTCCTTTTACATGATTTAAGGATGCCATTCTCTCGCCCAGCACAGGTAATGCATTCGGGGAGGTAATATCACAGCTCTCTGTTGGAAGATACATATTTTGCCTCCAGCTGCAAACAATCTGTATTGCACTGTCAGTGGCCACCATAAAATAAACAGTTACTGTCCTTGTCCTTTTCCGGAAAGTGCCTAATTCTGATTTTTCATATTGGGAAGAGCCAGATCCTAAAGGCCTGAAGGTAACACCTCCTCCCATGTCTGCACACACTGATCATGAAACTCAGAACAACCTCCTTTCATCCCCCAAATCCTTCCCTCTTCCCTAGGGAACAGGCATGTTTCCCAACAGGGCTCACAAGGCTGAATTAAGTTGTGAGAATTTGCTGTGAGAAGCGTCTTCCAGCAAGTCTCCTCACTCACAGGTTAAGCAATCAGTGAAGAAGCTGGTAAAACCTGGAGCAGGAGGTAGGGAATGCTTATTCACACCCAGGGGAGGAAGCAGAGTGTTCAGGGCACACAATGTGGCAGACAGTTACCAGAAAAGTGGTTTCTCAGAAAAATGCCCTAGGCGTCTGCACGCACAGATAATTTTTTTTTTCAGTGAGGGGTAGTGGCAGGAGGGTCCTTACGTTGTTCTTTTTCCTCTGTTGCTCAAAAGCATTTCTCTGAGATGCGAGCTCGCTTTGGAGACTGGTGATCTCTTTCTCCTTCCCTGCAATACTGAATTACCAAAGAGAATCACAAACAAGTCAGGAGACATTTAGGACTTTGCAAACGAAGCACCGATACCCTCCCTTTGCACAGGCTAGCATGTTTTCTTTTCTAGCAATACATCCTGCTCTTGCTGCCCTGACAGCACTGCTTGCTTCCCACTGCCCTGAACCACAGGCTGACAGAACGAAGGCTGTTGTAAACCTGCTGTTTGCCTACAACAGGCATCTGCACACATTTATCAAGGCCATGGAAAGGCACTGCAGCCGTTAAGTCAGCACGAAGCCTCAGGATGAGCACTGCTCACTGGATGGGAACATTCATTTTCTCGTACCTAGGTCACAATTTTTAAGTCACTTTTAAGTTAAAAGAACATAATTCAGGCAGGCAAAATGCATGACAGTGGCAATTTGTGCAGCCCAATGTAAGCTGGCAGGCCACAGGCTGCCACACAGACCTGTGCTGCAGTTCAGCTTTGCACTGTACCCCACTTCTACTCCAAAGAAAAGCCTTGGGGAAAGATTTCCACCAGGCTGTTCTGTGATATGAACAAAAATCTGCTGCCAGGCTGTGGTTGTAGGAAAAGAGCTTCTCAGTTTTGCTTGGAACCCTAATATCTGACTCTTCAGACAGCTGAGCTGACATGCACCTAAAATTGACCCCATCATGGCTTGCTTACACTGTGAGCACAACATACAGAGCAAGTACTGTTTGCTGAGGACCACAGTTGAAGATTATTAGCATGAGGAGTACTTGCATGCTCAGGTTTTATTAGGTACCAAAGTTTCTGTTTTGTTTTGAAATTCATTTACGCTTTCCAAGCAATAAGTAAAACAGGGTGTTCATCTATTGCATTCAACTTATGGCAGTACTTACACTTGCAGAAGCTCCTCCCTTTGGGCAGCCAGAGACACCTACAAGCAGGTCAGAAACTCATTAGGAGCACATGAGCAAAGAGAGTGACCCTCCTGGTGAATCCATCATTGCTGCAACACCAAGTGCAGGGCTCTGGCCCTCCAGGGAATCCTGTCTAGCCTCCTTTGGCCAAAACCCCCCACAGTGATGCACTGACTTTAAAGATAAGGGTGGAAAGCCAGAGGGAAACACAACAAGCATTAGAAAAAACACAAGTCTGCAAATCCACACACTAAAGGGAAGCAGGAACAGATATCCAACCATCAGGAATGCTGTTTTAAAGCAATTCAACCCTGAGTTGTTCCTGGATAGGCATAGGCAACACAACTACTAAGTCTTCCATGCATCCATCTTGCCAACCCTTTAACTTTGCTCATTCACTGTACCTGTTGGCAGTTCTCCTGTTTTAATTCTTGAATTTGAACTTTAAATGATTCATTTTCCTTTTCCACATCCTATTTAAAGAAAAGAAGCAATACTTTTATAAATATTATTTATTAGTTTTATTTAAAAAAAGCATAAAATGTACATCGCTTCTTGCAGCACAAGCCAATTCTAGCAAAACTTTACCTGCATCTGTTTTACTTGGTTTGCAATTTCTCTCTCCTTCTCTTCCAATACAGCTTTCAACTTGTTCATTTGTTCTTCTTCCACTCTCAACCTGCAGAATTCGTTTTGAAAATAGTAAAAATAATAAAAAAATAAGAATTGAGGCTAAAAAGAGGGAGAGATGCTCTAGCTTGCACAGAGCCTTCAGCAGCAGCAAGCAGCTCAACTTTGTGCACTATCTACAATCATGAGCCACATGGAGAGCACACACACTGGAAAAGAACCATCACGCTAAGGCTCTAAACCAAGAAAACTAACAAAAAATACACGTCAGCTGCAGGAATGTGTACTGCAAACATTCACCTGGTAAGAACTGGCCTGGGGCAAGCTGGACACTTCACATCTTAGTTAACAAATGCAGTTAGCCACAAGTGAGCTTATGAGATCCAGAGCAGAGGTGGGAGAGAAGCAACTGACCTCCCGGGCAAACCCTCCAAACCACCTTGCTCTGAAGCACATGCCAGGGACCAGCCTCCCAAAGGTGACAATACTCGAGGTGTCACAGACTGGCTATACTGGAGCCCTGTGGGGCTGGCAGCTCATAGCAATAACTATGCTGAGAGCCCTTTTTGGCACAATCACACGTGTATTTCTCTGACTGAGGGCAGCTGCACAGTCAGGCAGAGCAGAGCCAAAAGCAGAGGAAAGCACAGCAACATATTTCACAAAGCAGGAGCTGGAGAACTGACTATTGCATCTCTCAGACCCAAACCAGCAAGATCTATCTGTTCACTGCTTAACTGACTCCACCATGCAGTATGGGCCTTGGGCACTCCAAAACACCCTCTAAACAAGCTAAACAGGAGGAAGTATCACTAAACACAAGCAGTTAGGGGAGCCTTGGGTGACTGCTTCCTCGTGCGAGCACCAGACCATCATTACACAGAGCAGCAGACACGCTGGCTGCTGCACACCCAGCAGCACTAACAGTTTGCTCTAGCAAAGCCCATAAAATTCTTGAAACCAAGTCCTACATTCCAGTTTAAGCAAAAGGCCAGCACTGAGCACGTTACCAGCAGGCGCTTGGGAAGGGGCAGCTAAGCATACTCACAGGCTCTCCAGGTCCTGGACTTGGGATGCAGCAGGTACCTGGCAAACAAAGAATTCCCAGCCTCATTTGATGGCACAGTAAAGCCATCAAGTTAACAAGTCTTTGCACGATCAGGGACATGACACAGGTTGGAAGATAACTTTTGGCCTTGGTATTTTTAATATGTGACTTCCACTATATATTCTAAACCTCACACCAGTCAGTTTCTCTCCCTCCCACCTTTCCCCTGGGACAAATACTCCACCCAGAACAAGAATGCAACTCTGCTTCTCATCTCTTTCATGAGAAAATTCTTAAGTGAGCTAAAATACCATCTGACAGGAAGAAAAGGTTTCACAAGTTAACAACCAACTGCAAGGATTTCCAGTTGCTTGCTTTCAAGTCCAGTGCAGAAAATCCAGACCCAAAATATTCCAGGGAGTTGCAAATTTAACAGGTCAAGAAAGCAATCAAAGCAAGAGCCCAGGGCACAATTGTGCTTCGGACTAGGAGTTCCAGCCTTTCAGGCCACTGAAGCCACTCGTTAATGACAGCATCGTCCAAACTAAAGAACAGCCCTTAGAACTTGTTACCTGCTTTGGATAAAGACAGCAGAACTAATGGGCTCTTTGCACTGTAGACTATCAATCTAGTCAGTAGGATCTTAAAAATTGATCTGCAGGCTGAAGGCAAGGCACAACCTTTGTGAGGGCTGGGGGATCAACAAACATCATCCTCCAGGTCAGCTAAGCATTCCTGTTTCCGAATCGCATCTGCTCGGCAGGCCGTACCTGTTGGAGCTGTTGCAGGTTCTGTTGCTCTAACTCCTGAACTTTATTGGTTAACTGTGCAATTGTATCTTGCTGACCCTTTGAATAAATAAATAAATAAATGGTGAATTTAGAACCACAAGTGCAACCTTTCTGCATTCAGAAATACTGCAACAGAGCTTTTATTGCCCTTTAGAACAGCAAGGAAGTTTACCTGCAAACATTCTCCTTTCTTGACAATCTCTTTTTCCTTCTCTTCCAATAAGGCCTCCATGGTTTTCACCTGCTTTTCCTTCCCCTTCAACCTGTAACATTATATGGACATAGACACAGAGAGAGACACCCACCCTTATTGAGACCCAATCTTATTCACACACACACACAAAAAAACACAGAATCCTACACCTTGGTGCATACAAGTAACAAAAGCAGCCTGTGTGATCAAAGGCACCACCACAATTCTAAAAATCAACGTGTGAACACTCCCACCTCAGCCTGGATTAGCAGGAGCCTGACAGATGCCCTTAGTCAATGGCACTGCTCAAATGAAACCACACGAGTTTCGCTCCAACACGTGCTGCAGTGACTCCATACACTGGTGTTCCCCTTATCTAAATGTATTTCCTTCCCCTTCCCTATTCAGGGATGATGAGCATCCATAACTCAAGTCTCATTTATCTATCCAGCTACATTACAAAGTGATCTGTCCATTGTACCCTGCCTACATGCCTCTATTCCAACTTAAATTGAATGCCATGTAGGTTATTAGGGAGGCCACACAGTGCTTAACTTTGTGGTTTCAAAAGACAGGCCCAGAAGGGTGATGGGTTTTGTAACAAGGAGGTTTGTCCACTGGGAAAACTGTTAATAACCTGGCTCACTTCACCCATACTAGAGACATCAGGCAGGAAAACCTTGACCTAAGAGGGACTGGAGTGGGGCAGCGAGGGCTCCACGGGGCAGATCAGACATGTTAACAACTGCACTTACAGCGTCTGCAGTTCTTTGACTTGCGAAGTGATCGACACCTAGAGAAAACAAGCATCACTTCAGTTCAATAGCCATAGCAATACCAAAAAAAATGCTTCAGGGAAAAACAGGAAAACAAGCATCACTTCAGTTCAATAGTCATAGCAATATCAAAAAATGCTTTAGGAAAAAACAGAAAAAGGCAATTGGAGATTATTCCAACAGGCACTATTTGCTACAGCAGTGTGAGCATAAACATAATCTTTTTGAGAGAGAATAAATCATGAAGAAATGCATCTCTACCATTTACTCTCCCCATTTAAAAAATTTCTTCCCCAGCAAGAAGGGGACCAACACGAACGGCACAGGAGCAGAGCCACCAGAGCACTGCTCCACCACAGGAGAGCAAGAGGAAAGCGGAGGCTGACGGCAGCCACCTCACTAGCCACCTGCAGCTCAAATCGCAGTGAACACCTCTAGCCCTTGCACAGGGAAAGGTTTTCGTGATGCTCCCTTTTAATAAGGGACAGGAATGAGAGAAATAAAGTTTAAAAGGGAACATTTCTGTTGAATTTTCTATCAAAGCCTGACAGAGGCCACAGAGCAGCTAGCTGAGATTACAACAGTTTTCAGCCATGTAGCTGCTGGCTGTCCAGAGCAGCTCAGTCCAGTTATTCTTGCTCCACTGCATGGCAGGAACTTCAAACATCCCCAGCAACCTCTGTTTTGCTTGCACAAGACCAAAGAGTGCATGTGTGCATCATCTCTGGAGCTCAAATGCAGCTTTTCAGAGACTGCAACTCCAGCTACTACTTGCAAGCTCTGTAGCAGTTCCCGGGAAGGAAAATAAAAATATTTCCTCCAGTTCCTGGGAATCTGCCTTTGAGGAAAAGCCCAAGACAGAAACACACCCTGTGAAGCTTTGCCTAAAAAGGACAAAAGCTTTAACACTAAGATAAATCAGTGGCATGTTAGAACGTAACCAGACAGAAAAAAGGGCAGACAAAAGAAATCCACACAAACAAGCAAGCAAGCTTCCTGATGGCAGTGGATTAAGCTGCTTGCACCATAGGCTCCCTAAGGAAAGGGGGAAAGGGGGACTGTTTTAGATGCTAGACAGCAGGCATGCTGCAAAACCCAACACTCCTCCGCTTTGGCATTCCTAAGGGCAAAGCCCACCCTGCCAGGAGCAGCTTTCCTGGGACATGGGAATGGTCTTCACTCTACCCGGAAACCAAAGGCAGTTTGAGCAGAGGGACTGTCCTAGGAAGGAGGCACCAACGAAGGGGAGGCACCTTCAGCATCTGAGGGTTTGAGGGTGCCAACCCCTTTGGGTGTCCCAAGGTTTCCGTGTCTGCTCAGGGCACTGGGCAACGCGCCCAGCCAGGGCCAATGCTGCAGCAACAGCAATTCCTGCTAAATCTTGCAAACTAAGAATCCCAAACTTGGGCATCCAGGGGAAGGGGTTTCTGAAGGGCAGCAGTAATTATACTAAATATTTACAGCTTTATATCCAAGTACATTGTAGCTGCACCATTAAAAAGTTCCCTTATCCAGGGACATTCGCCAGTGACAACATACTAGAACAGAAACGAGTGAGCAGCGCATCCAAGGCAAGGCTGTTTCACACTTCTGGCACTAAGTAATTTTACCTGTTTTTCCATCTCAAGCTGGGAATTTCCTACTTCTTCTTTCAGAGCCTCTATTTCCTGTGTCAAAGCCTTTTCAATGACAAAACAGACAGGATTGGACAATGGAAACACAAAAAAACACCACAAAAATGGATGCTACAAATTTGTTATTATAGAATGCAGTGCAGTAACAAATAAATGGTAGTCAATGGCACAGACACAGAAAGGAAACAATAGTGCTCAAGATGAGTACCTGAACAGTTTTCTCCTTGCTAGCAACTTTAAGGATTTCAGCTTGCAGAAGTTCTTCCACCGATTTTATTTTCCCATCCTTCTCATGGATTCTTAGGAAGAGTAGAGGAGTCTCATTAAACAGCTGATCAAATGAGCTGCTCAAGAGTTAATACATTAGCTTTGGTTCTGCTATCAGCAGCAGGTGCCTCTGGAACCACAGTGAGATTCCCACTACTGCAGGCTCTACCACTCATTAATTGCAAAACTAGATGCAAAAAGCAAGAGGAACATGCTAAGCAGATAAACTAGATGCAAAAAGCAAGAGGAACATGTATTTTGTATTTTAAGACAAAAGAAAAAGTATCTGTGAATCTTGGAATAAGGTCTTGCACTTAACTTCAGCCTTCACTGGGCATTTCAGCAAAATACAGATTTTTAACTTGGAATTTATACACGTACACATAGAAATACAGGAAACAAGCTCACTTTTACAGTGCCTACTGAAGAAAAAACAATTATCTAGCAATTCAGTGATTCCCTGCCTGGTCAAATTTTGGCTTATGAAAGTAGTAGTTTAGCAAAAAAAAGAAAAAAAAAAAAAGGGGGATTTTCAGAAGGTATTGATCCGACTCGATGCATTTCCAAAGCACTGGCTTTTCCTGCCACGCGCACATTTCATCCAGTTGAAAGCAAATCATAAACTCATCTCGGGAAAGCAAAATACCCATAGGCATAGAACAAAGACAGGCAGAAGTAACAACAATTTGAAATTAAATTGCTGCAGTAACTTACACTTTCTGGAGTTCTTCCACCAGTGATTGGAAAGAAACCTGCACAAAAGAAATCTTTACCTTAGAAAACAGGAGAGAGCAATACAAGGTGTTTACAAGTGTAAAGGGCAAGGAATAGCATTCAGGTTCTTTAGTAATGGGCAAAGACTATGTAGCAGCCCCAAAATTTTACCTATCTGGCAGTTTATATAAAACTAGTTGGTCTCTATTTCCTGGCAAACCAATAGCACCAAGTCTGCAGCAAACTCCAAGAAAACAACCCAAAATCTGTATCATCTTCACCAGGAGAGGCTGAGCCTCAAGGCCAGCATTCAATCAGCTTTAGCACATAACAGGCTTGAAAGGGTTAATGTACAAGCACAGTCAGAAGCTTCAAGCAGACCATTACAAGCAAGGACCAAACTGCAATTCCAGGTTTCTGAAAGAGAAACCATTCTGCAGGTCAGAGTACACTTACTCATTCAGGGGCAAGCAGACAGTCGAGTCACAGCCTTAGGGGCTATTTGCTTAATTTCTGAGAAAAAGGTGAATTGAAGTTCTTGAGTTGTGAACCAGCTGACAACCAGCTGACTGCTTTTTTTGTTACTCCTCTTTGAATAGACTATAAAAGATACTCTGATGGGCATTGTACACTTCTCCACTTCACAGTCATTCTAAGAATATTTATTTATACAGGTTCTCCTCTACCATAGGTGATTTTTCTAGCAAATAAGTGCTCTCTTGAGCTGTCCAAGCAGAGCTGCGTGTCACAGAAGTCATTTTTCAATAGACAAAGAGTGCACGTCAAACAATACTACTATGGTAGTGTCACTGCAAACAGAGACATAAATAAAAAGGGGGACAAATCACGGCTGCATGGATGCGAGTTAACTTCAGAAAGCTCAAAGATGCAGAGAAAGCTGATGGTGCATCCGCTTGAGCACCAGCCATGCTTGTTATCTTTGCAAAAAGGCAGCTCTCAGCCATTTCAATGTGTGGCAGACTGAAATCAACCCAGAATCTCAGCCAAACTGGAACCTTTAGATCCACCTCATTTGAGAGTTTTGATAAGAAAGCATCTGACAGAACAGCAGCTTCCAGACCAATGCTGGAAGAAAACAGGATGCTTTGCCAACAGGCTTCAAAGACATCCTCACCTTTTTCCCTTGACTTTTGCAACAGCAGCAAAATTCTTTTAGATGTAGTTTAGGTGTAATAAAAGTTTTAGATGAAAAGTACTACCTGCTCTGATTGCTGAATTTGCAGACTTTGAAGTTCTTTTCTCAAGGATGAATTTTCCGTTAGCAAGGCCTTTGAAAACAGACAGACAGATAATGAAACACTCATTTATGGGCATAAGGAAAGAAGTGTTAAGCTTGATGGAAAAACTCACTTCCCTTAGAACAAGTAAAATCTGAAAGCCCAGAAATAAATGCCTTCGCCAGTTGAAGCCAAATTACTCAACAGAAGAGTTGTTGTAATGGAAGAGCTCTGAATATCCCTGTGGACATGACAAAGTGGACTTGAATCTGTAGGTAGCTGAAGTGCAGAGAAGCATCAGAGTGATGTGCTCACATCTGTGGCTCTCTAGTATCCAGGCTGCTGCATCTCCTGGCATTTTGCTAACATGCAGCTTTTCCCCACCTTGCACATGGGGACAGTAGGTAGAGAGCACTCTGCCTTGGCCATGTCTGGTTCAACGGGACACACACACTCACAAAACTCAGATGAAAGTAGGTAGGAATTTTTGTCACTAGTTTTCCAGATTTGTCATTACTGACTTCAAACAAAGCAAGAGGAAAAACCATCCGCACTAGTCCATGCTATCATCTGTGTAGGGTTCAGTTAACCTTCCAAACCACCAACCAAGCAGGAAGATTCAAAATCTTCACACTGCCAAGTTATCACACAACCACCTTTTCTAATGAGAGGTTTGTTCCAAATTAGAGCAGACATTCTGCAGATATATTAGGTTTTGTTCCAGGATAAACAAGATAAAGATCCTATAATATCTTCTCAAGAATAAGCAGAGAGAAGCACTGCTCACCATTAACACTTATACTCAAGTCAATGTTACTGTTTTAAATATTGTGCCTAGGACATGACTCTTTCTATGCAAAAGGAATAGTCTCAGATTGCACTACAGACACGCAAAGATACACTTTGCACAAGAGCATTTAGTCTCTGTTTCCCCATAAAAAATAATGCAAGAGATTTTACCTTCAGCTCCTCCTCTTTATTAGCCACCTGTATGAGTCCTGCCTCAAGCAGCTCTTCAACCGTTTTGATTTTATCATCCTTCTCTCTCATACTGAGGAATCAAAGGCACAAATAACAGAACAGAGTTAATTTTTGAAGGCATTTCAGCTATAAACAGTAGCCTTGCTACCAGAATCAGGTCTCTTGTTTTAGCCCCTGAATTAGAAGAAAAACTTCTTACCTTCTTTCCATTTGCTCTAACACGTCTTTGTTTGCCTATTAAAAATATATATAGGTTATCATTAATTGAATCAATACTGGATTGAGATTTCCAAAACAGGAAGGTCTAAGCAACATCATCTTGCCCAGAAGCTCAGTTACTCAACTACACTAATCCAGAAGGAAAAATTGAATAGGGAGAAAGTAATGTCTCTAATCTGGATCTTGGGAAAACACAAAACCCTCAGGAAAGGTGCAGATCCAGCCCAAATGCCTTCATGATTTTGGACTGACAGACTTCAGGAGTTGCTGTGGGACACAGGATCTCCATGAACCTCATCAGTGGTAAGAATGCCAAGCACTAGGCAGCATCTAACTCCCTAGCAGCCAGCTCAAGAATTGGAAAACCTGTCTTCTCTGAGCATTTGCTATTGCAGACAGGATGTCAGACATGCCAGGCCCAGGGGAATAAGGCTGTAAATCTGGTTATCCACCAGAAGGGAACCGGTCCAGGCAGGGAGCTGCTCACCAGCAGCTACCAGCACAAGACCGAAAAATAATTTCCTGTCCAGCAAGGTTTTTGGTTTGTTTCTTCATTTGTCCTTTTTTCCCCTCCCTCTCCTCTCCAGTGTTCCAGGAATTTTTCTCATTCTACAGCAGTATGAAGGCAGGGATGTTCAAAGTTGTTCCAGCCAATGCTTGCAAGGGAGACTGGGCAAAGTGGCCCAGCACAGCTTGGAACCTGAACATTTTGTGAACACCAGCTAGATTCACTGCAGCAAGTGGCCACAGGGAAAAACATGGAACAGGAGAAAAACCATATAGTAAATAATCTTCCCAGTTCAAGCATATATTCTTTGGCTCCCATTGTTGCTACCTACCTACCAGTTTTGAGAACAAAACATTTCATAATTTGTTTGAACAGCCCTGACCTGGTCTGAAAGGCACCATGACTGCCCAAATCAGACCTTCTGTGGAGGAGAAACTGACCTAAAATGCAATGAGATCTACACACCAGCTTTTCAAGCAGCTCATCCAGGGTTGCCTTAAGCAAAAAAAATATACATATACACACACACACACATATATATATATATACATACACACACACACACACACACTTAAAAAAAAAAACCAAAGGACATGGGGAGATGAAGGAGAAAAACCCCCACCCCACCATAAGATACTGCATCAGATCTCAGCGAACAGTGGCTGTACCTGCTCGGACAGGACAGACTGCAGCTTCTGAACTTCAGCTTGCAAACTTCGGTTTTGATCCTTGAGAACCTGGAAGAAATTTAAGCATAATATCAGTTCAGAATTGCACGTCCCAATTACAGCATTTTCCATAAAAGCAACCAGGTAATTAAACAGCAGGGAATTGTTACAGTGAACAGAAGCTGCAAGACTAGAGACAGTCCCTTCTCCTCCCATTTTTTTTTCCAGGATTAATACCTTGTCCTTATGTTCCCTGGGCCACTCACCTGCTACCATCCTCATTCCCCAGCTGAGGATCAGACAGTATCAAATGGAAAATACAAGTGAAAGGGTTTGGTATGTGCAGGGTTGCTGCTCCAGGGAACTTGGCGCTGGCTTTGCTGTTAGCCCAGTTGGCATCAAACAGCTACCACTGCTCCGTGGAAGTGGTTATGACTGCAGAAGGGGCTAGGATGCCGGTGGGAAAAAGCAGCCTGCACTACACAAAATTCCTGGAGAGGACGTGCCATTAAACACTAACAGCTCAATGCTCAGACCAGGAACATTCCTGGTGACTCTGGAGCAGCTGCTTGCAAAGCTCTTCTCAAGAAAGGAGATGCTCTGAACACAGGGGCTTAGCAGGATTGGCAATTGCAAGCTTCAAAACTTTTAGATCCTGTTAGACATACTTGATCACATCCTCATTTTGGAGAGGGAATGGAATTAGGGAAATTCCTCACTTGGCCCTTCTGGCAAATTAAGCTCCTTACATATATTCTGAATCTTCTTCTAGCACTGTTTGCCATTTCACAAAAATCTTTTACAAGAGCTGCTTGATGCGTTACGAAAGTAAGAAGCAGAACATAAAATCTATGTTGCAGCCTCAGTGCCCAACACCACAAGCAGGAAGCGATAGAGAAGGAAAGGATTAAAGGAATCAGCTTGTTTTGAATCTGTTTTGTTCCTTCTTTCAAATGTATGGAAAGAAAGAAATGATTTCTCAGGCAGAAGCTTTCAGCACTGAGCTGGACTGGCTTATGTTTGGGATCAAAGACAGGAGGAGGAAGGGACTAGATGTGCTCACAACATTCAAGCTGCGAGTCCGCAACAAATTCCCACAGCATCGCTGTGAGGATCCGTGTTCAGCTCCCTGTTCACTTCCCACAAACGTGCAGGATTGTCTCCACCTGATTTGGGGTCATTACTGAGTTGATTTCAGCATTTAACCACCCACAGAAGCTCAGAGGTCTCTTCCCAGGTAACAGCTACTACAGAGACTACAGATTATTCCTCCTAAATTTTCTTTTATTATTATTATTTTTAGACACTTTGCCTGCCAGTTTAGCAAACTCCACCTTGAAAACCCTGCAGTTCTTGAGCTGCTGGCCTATTCAAGGTACTGAAGTGTACCACCAATAAAGGAACACCTTTTCCTGCTCCCCTTTCCAGATCATCCATACACATTGCCCTGCACATGCCTCATGGAAGGTGTAGCCAAGAGCTTCTCTGTGAAAACCAAACATTTAGAGTTCCACATTACTTCCTATTCTTTAACCAGCCATTAACTGGGGAATCAATCTTCCTTCTTATCTTCTATAACAGCACAGGGGAAACTAAAGTGCCTTGCAAGGGACCTCATAAAAACTTTTTGGAAGCACAACTACAACACACAAAACCAAGTTTCTCATTTGTTTGCTAACACTTTAAAATAGCTTTAGGAAACCCCTGAGCAATATTTTTTCTAAAAATAAAAACCATGATGGCACTGCCCTGGCAGGTACCCACCTGCTACCTGCCCAGTTCCTCACTAGCAAACCTACATGTTTGACACTAAGGAGTCTAGACGTAGTGATCTTTCATCAGAACCATCACCAAAGTAGTTTTACTTAGCATGGGCTTTGAAGGAGTTGCGACAGCAAAAGCAGCTTTCTCAGGAAGCAGGTCCCCATTTCTAACTGCTAATGCCTCAGGTGACAGAGCAGAAGGAGGGACGTGTCACTCTGAGCATGCCATGTGGAAACAAGCACCAGCTCTGCTGTGCAGACCCAAGCATCAGAGCTAGAAGCTTCAGCAATTTAGCTGCTGCCTTATGAGTGCCGATTTGGAAGAGGTCAGGAGCAAAATAAGCATTTTATTCCTATCTTGACAAAATAAAAAGAGTGAGACCTGGCAGCACGATAAGCCAAACAACAGCAGCTCACATCAAGGCCTTGGAAGTCACATTACAAGGAAGAACGCAGGAAAACTATAATAGCTTTTACTGAACCACCTCCTCTTCCAGATTTCAGGTCTCATTACGTTTGACTTGTGTTATCACGTTCAGCTGCTCCTACTCCTGTGACATCCCACATGGCTTTTGCCTTGTAAATAGAACACTGAAACATAACTTTATATCTGAAAGCCAGTCCTATTTCAAAAATCCCCATTCAATTGTATGAATTGTTTCACAACCTCGGAAGTCTAGAAAGCTTACTGCAAATAAGCACAAGGATAGCCACCCACATCTTACCTTAAATTCTTCTTTTGTGTTTGAAATCTGAGCAAGTTCTTCTCGAAGCTGCTCTTCAAGAGTTCTTATTTTATCATCTTTCATGTGAATGCTGAGAAAGCAGAGCAGTTAAAAACACACATTCTCCTCCAAGCCTTACAACAAGCATCAATTCAAAAGAACATTAGCAGACAGACAGAAGTTGTTTATGAAATGCCAAAGCTATTTACCTTTTCTGCATCCTTTCTAGCTCATGTGCAGCAGCAGCCTAGATATAAAGAGGATTAACATAGACTTAGGATGCATCATGTGATTCAATCAACCCTTCATTCCACAATATTAAAAAACTAGAACAAGTCATTTGGTCTCTCAGCACATGACTCATCAGCAAGAGCTAAAGGGGTAAGCCTGTCTTTACACACTTAAAACCCCAGTATACAGCAGCCAAGCAACTAAAAGAAGGGGGTTTGTAAAGACGCATTTGACAACCAGGAGCATCTCCGAATACAGCATTTGTGTGACATGCTGGCCACACAGCTCTAACAGAGGAACTGTTTTTTTGTTTGTTTGTTTTTACAAAAATATGTTTGTGTCTGAGGGTTTTTTTGAGGGATGGCTATGACGTCTGTATTCAGTCACAGTTGTGTTTGCTCCTGTGAAGCATCCTGCACTTTGCATGCTTGCAAATCTAAACAAATCTGTATCAGAACAGGACCCCAAACATGCAATTTGCTTCTGTTTCTTACTGGCTATCCAAGTCACTGATTTAGCTGGTGAGGAAGGCAAGAAATAGGCCTCAGGACAACTACAAACTCTGTGGAATCAGTTGCCTGGCTCTGCAACTTCACTACTCAACAGGTTTAAGCTCAGCTGACTGAAAGCAATGGATCTGTCCTTGTCTTTAGGAAAAAGATGGGGGAGATCAACAAAATCTTTAATGAATCAATCATCATCTTTTTACCTGTTCATTTGTTAAAGCCTGTAACTTCTGTACTTCTGATTTCAGGGATAAGTTCATATTCTGCAAGACCTGAAGAAGAAAGAAATACTTGTATTTTACAGAGTCAGTATTTCAAGCAAGTCCATTCTTCAGTGGGAAGAATTCCAGGTCACTGTTGTAAAGAGTCTAGCATTAATAGCAAGGAAAAGCCTCAAACTTTCCCATCCCCAGCACCAAGCACAGGTCTTGCTTGCAAGAATCAAATCAACAGACTTATAGCCATAGGGGCTGGTTCTGGGGGCAAAGAGAGCAGCCTTGCAGGATTCATTTTACAACGTGTATCTAGTGCCCCTGTATCAGTAGGCTTTGATTATACCTTGAGATCCTCCTCCTTGCTGGTTAAACTGGCATGCTCATTGCTTAATGAGTCCTCCATCTGCTTTATCTGTTTGTCCTTTTCTGCAATCCTGTACAAATAATAAAAAGATGATTAGCAATACTAAAAGGTCGTGTATAAACTCTACATGTGAAGCATCAGGCTAAACATTAAATGCATGCCAATCCTCAAATCCAACTCACTACTTGCACACCTATTGACAGTACTCTTTGGGTCCAAAAGACTTCCCATCCATTTTAAATGCTCTTTGCTTGCCAAGAATGAATGGGATGTTCTCTGAAACACTACTCCATCTCCCAGAGGGAAAAAGCCTCCTGGCACAGTGATACAGCCCGAAATACTAACATTCCCATGGCCATGCACATTCCTGCACACTGCACTCATCTCTGCATACAGACAAGAGTGAACAAGAGAGGAGACTTTCTGTGCCACTAAAGCTGCACACAGACTCCAAACTCAGAGCCAGGCAAGGAAGGGAAACCCGCAGGAAGCAGCTTGACAGTCCCTGCAAGGATCTCATAACAGAGTTAAACATATTGGCAATAGTATTTCCTTCACAAGTCCCTTCCATAGGCGACGGTCAGGGAAGGTGGTTTGCACCTGGAGGCCAGTAACACTTTCTCTAATACAAGGGGAAATGAATGCTCACACTTTGTGCAGTTCTTCTGCCAGGACTGAAGCTGAGGTCTGCAGAAGGAAAAAAAATAAATAAGTTGCTGAAAGTAAAGCAAGAATCCTCTTCTACAGTGAGCCAAAAGAGCATTTGTAAGATTTGTCTAAAGTCATTTTAAACTGTTACAGGTGAATTCCAAGCCTTTCCTGGCTAAGGAACATTGAAAGAATACAAGCACACACTGCTGCCCCTTCCCCTTCAGTGTAATCTCAGTGTAATCTCTTCTCCAGTGAAGAGAAAGATGAACATTCTTATTGGCCATTTTGCTTCCCACCGTTCAGTGTAATCTCAGTGTAATCTCTTCAGTGAAGAGAAAGATGAACCATCTTATTGGCCATTTTGCTTCCCACCAAATTCAAGCAAGCAATGGGGTTCACCAGCAGCAGGCTCCCCTGGACAAAATGCTTCATTATGCAGACTTTTTACAGCATCACCACCAGAATGAACTTTATAAAGCTTTATAAAGAAGCTACCATGAGACAGAGCTTCTCAACCCCAACATGGAAGAGAAATGTGTTACAGGGTGATTCACAGGAGAGCTACAAAAAGGCTAAAAGAACCACATGTGGCAGACTACCCACACATGCAAAGCGATGGGAAATAAACATTTAAGACACTGTAGGTTACCCTTTGCTTAAAAACAAAAAGCGAGTTAACACCACAGGAATACATAGATGGATTTCCCCTTCTCCCTGCACAAGAAGAAACAGTCGATATGTAGAAGACTACAACAGGAAGGGTAGAGCCTGGGAACACGCTGTACCTGGGCTGCCATTTGCGAATGAAACTTCTGCAGCTGAGTGTTCAAGGCATCGTTCTGCTCTATCAGCTCCTTGGGAAAAGGGCACAAAGAAAGGCAGGCTGAAATCTGCAGTTGGACAATATTCACTAGTACAACCTCTTAGCCAGGATTAAGTTAGTAAGGACAACTTAGCAGTTCCTGTCAAACATTTTGTGAAGACATTGCTTTTCTCCCCACTATGATCAACCAATCTGAGTGCTGGGCACATTTTCCTAAGTTGTGCAGACTATTTCAAAGCTCCAAGATCACCCAGGACCTCCTTGCACAGCATCTCATTTCATAAACTGCCAGACGATAGACTGGCACAGTTTTCTTGCTCCTTATTCACCTGCAAAGCTTTTTTAGAGCAGCATTTCAAGATAATACTGGGTCTCTGCAGGCACAAGTGAGAAGAAGGAAAAAGAACCCAAAACTTAAGACACTTGAGCATTACCTGCACCTGCATCTGCATAGAGTCCTCTGCACTTGCTCTCTTTTGCTCAGCCTCCATTAACTGCAATATCCTCTGCTCCAGCTGCTGCTTTGACACCATGGTATCAGTAAGTTTACTGTGCAAGCTCTGGATTTCATTGTCTTTGGCCACAAGCTTATTCTGCACATCTGTAGCAGAAATGTCAGGATTTTAATTCAGAAACATTTGAACTTGGGTGGAATAACTTTTACTCTAAACAGAGAAGCTGATTAGAAGCCTTGTTCTAGCAAGCTGAGGTTCTGCTCTCATTCTCAGCATTCAAAATACTTTATATAACATCACATTGTTTCCTCAGGGTGCTGAAGCAGCACCAACTTCACCTGAGATTGAAGTCACTTACTCAGTAACACATATTTTTTTTAAATACGAAAGGGAAAAGACAGATCACTGCAGTTGCATTATTACAGTATTTCACATGTTATACATGCCTTGTTGTGCTGCCTCCTGTTCTGCTGTTCTTTTCCTGAGATAAGCCTGGATTTCTTCCCATCTTCTCTCCGCTTCCTGCTGCTGGACCTTCATATCGAAAACAGTTGATGAAAAGGAGTCCAACTTTTAATTTATTAAAAAGCATCTCTTCCATGCTATTCCCAAAACATATGGCAATGAAGTAAAAGTATTCATTGTTTCCATTAGAGCACATTAGAGACACCAAACGCCCTGTAATCTCTTCCTACTATTCCTCCAGCAATTTAGCCTATTAATTTAGAAGGTAAATTGTGAACAGGACTTCATTGTAGGCTCTTGGCAGGCCAGTTTCTGTTAATATTAAAATTTTTTAGAAATGCAGTTTTTTTTTTTCTCCTGACAAGTTCCAAATTAAAACTAGAAGCCAGACTAGCCATATATCATATAAATCTGCAATTATTAAAAAGTGTCTCAGCCCTAGATAGCAACTCTCCATCTGCAATTGCTTGGGTAGGGAGAACTTCTGAAAACCAGAATTTAGTTACAAACAAACAGGGGAAGAAAAGAGGAGGGGCGGGGGGGAAAGTAATGAGCTCTGGATTGGCATCCTCATCTGAAAACAGAGTTTTTCTTTTGAAATATATTGAATACAGGAACACTTTTCTTTCATAGAGAAAAAGAGAGATGCATCTAGAAGTCTCTGGTTTTTTGTTTGTTTGTTTGTTTGTTTTCCTTAATTCTAAAGTACCTGAAGAACATGTATTTTGAAGAAAGAGGGTTATACAAGGACAACACCGTTCAGGTAAGTTACTGCAAAATATCAAACCCAGCTAGAACTGTGTGCTCACAAAAAAAGTTCAAATCATCAGTTAAGCCTCTGAAAAGGTATTTCTGGAACAATTAGCTTTACTACATAGGGAATTTGTAGTTACTGAAAATACAAACTATTGAATCAGAAGTATTGAATCCCATAGGCTGAGAACAGCAACAACCTGAAAATAGGTATTTGTGCAAATAGAAGAAACAGAATTAGTGGCCGGGGAAACAGCTAAAGGGATTCACGTCTCACACCCAGTTCTGCCCAGCACAAAGCTTGGCTTAGAACCAGCCTCAAGAGGCTGAGGACACAGAAGTCACCTTCAGCTGAGCAACCGCCTGCTCCGCGTTCTTCTTCTGGAGCTCCTCTTGCTGCAGTTTGCTGGTCTTTTCTCCCAGCTCATTCACCAACCTCGCATAATCCTGGCGCAGTTTGTTCAGCTCAGCCGACTGCCTAGAAATAAAGGTTTTCACAGCTTCAGTTATGATTGCTCAAGTATAACAAGAAGAGTAAGAAGGAGTAAAAAGGCGCTCAATATCAAGTATAACAAGAAGAGTAAGAAGGAATAACAGCTACTCAATGGCAACACCAAATCCTAAATCTGCAGCTAGAGGTCCGTAGTGCTTTGTTCACACTGTCTTCTCCTAGGAAAGGGAGGAAGGTCTGGCCACCACCACTGCACAGCAGCTACTCCCCAAGTCAGAACCACAGGCCAGCAAGAAGCCACAAGCAGCATTTCCACACACGGGTTTGTAAGTTAAGGGCATATCCTGGGCAAGCCTTACATAAAAATAAAGAGGTTTGGCAGAAGGAAAGGTTTTGCATTCAAATTCACATCCCACTCCTTTTCCTAGTAAGGATTATCAATCCGTTGTTTACTCAGGACTCGATTCCTCCTTGACTACCAACTACAAGAGCCTCTTTGGACTCCATGTTACCACCTAGATTTGACTCATGTATATGATGTGCTCTACCACTTAGGGAGAGAAGACACATTTGTATAGGAATTGGAAGACACTGGTTAAAAAACAGACACACACTAAACAGTTTAACTGCTATCTTTAGTTCACCTGAATGAAAGATTTGTTTCACCCCCAAGACAACTGTTTAACATCAGGGCACTCCGTTCCTACAAATAGGGAAGTCTTTAAAACGAAGGTATCAGTACCCTGTTCCAGGCTGCTATGCCAGGCTGCTCCTGCAGACACACAAGTAGCTGTGAGCAGAGGCACCATCTCCACCTGGAAGCACAGCCAGAAGATACCTGTGCCCTTTTCAAGTCCTGCAGGATTTTGTGACACTAGTGTCCAACATTGAGTCCTAAGTTTAGAGCTGTTGGCTTCCCAGGAGGCTGCTACCTGCCCTCCTCCTAAAGTCACAAGTGGAAGGGGACGTAGGCTGTGAAAAACCACCAACTTTGGCTGAGCACTTCTACACTTTGTGACACCTTCAGCATCCACTCTTGGGGAGCAGGGGGGGACCTCTGCTAAGAGGCCCTGAGCAGTTCTGCAAGCTTTGGCTCAAAGCAAATGCAGACACACACCTCCTGAGCCCAGAGAGCTGCAGCCCTAGGATAACTCCAAATGCAGAGACAGCCAAAGGATATGAAAACAGAAGGAGCAGAAGCCAGAACAACTCTTTGGGGAAAGTTTCACACACACACACACACAGTTCCAATTAGCTGCTAACATACTTGCTTTCCATTTGATTGGTAGAGGTACTGACAGCATCTCTCAGGATACCATTCTCCTGCTTCAGGTGGCTTATTTCAGCCTCCATCTGCTCACGAAGCTGCTGGAACTGATGGAGGAAAAAAAAAATCCCAGAAAAGATTAAACTAGCAAAAAAGCAGAAGTTCTAATAACTGGATGGATGATATCACAAAAGTTTAAGTAATGAACACTGAGCTGGATTTCTGGGAACAGCTTCACCTCCCTCCACAACACACCTACTTCCCACTTAAAGTGCATAATTCGGGCTGCCTTGCTTGAATCCTTGCTGGCTTCCTTCTATCCCAGCGTATCAAACTGTGTATAAAGGCAACAGGTTTTTTAAATAGTACAAAAATATTACTTAAGATATTGATTACTCTCAACTGTATAACTTTAAGTAGTCACCAATAACTGGTACCAATACATTTTCTAGCTTCCAGTGAAAAAGCTAGTCCACCAGAACTACTAGAAGTTTAAAAGCCTTCAAACAAAGAGTTTACCACCACCACCACCACACAGATTACAGGCTGTGAACTCATCTAATGTGCTGCAGTCAGGACTGTGAATGAGATCCTTGACCTGACACCATCCCTAAGCCCTCGTTTCATCAAGTGACTGACTCCATGAGAATTTTGTATATAGAAAGGGCAAACAAATGCTTGCCTCATAACCACTAGTGCCTAGGGCAACCACGTGCAGTTCAGCACCAAAATACATACCAAGTTTTTTTTTTTTAATGTTTTGTTTTAATTCTGAGAGAAAAGGGGACACAAGCCCCGTGTAACTGGAAGGTTGAGCTTCAGATCCCCTGCAATGCTGTAACACATCAGCAGGCGGAGCAGAACCAGAGCAAAAAGTCACCCATTCCTGCCCAAATCTGCTTCAGCTGTAGGACCCCTTCCTGATGCAGTTAAACGTGCAAACAGGTCAGTGTCTGCTCTGGAGAGTGTAGTTCTGCTCCAAACCCACAGAAACGGTCCTTGCTGAAGTGCCAGGACACAGTACAAGATACAGCTTGGAAGTTCACATTCTAGGTTTGATGCAGAGACATCTATCTAGGTAAGGAGACTAGAAATCAAATCTAAGCACTGGTCAGTTGCTATAAGAGAAGACTCTTTTGGTAGAAAACTAGAAGCTAAACTTTTGAATGTGATTAAAGTAAAACTTTCTGGAGGTCTCTCCAATATAATGTGACGGAGGGAGAACAATAAGGGTCTAAAAGGCCTCAAGTATCTGCCCTTCATATATTTTCAAGGTGCTTCTCTATTCAATGATTTCTCTTGCCTCACAACTATACTAATGAGACTTTGTACCAATATTTTAAATCAGATTTAGCTACTGATACATAATCATTAGTATTACTGTCTTTCTCTAATTGAGTATTTCAATTAGATTTTACATTTTAATTGTATAACATTTCAGTAGAAGACCTTGAAAGGAAAATAACTACTTCAGAGCAGGCTGCCTAACATTCAGACTGAGCCACATTCCTCTGTGAAAAGACCTGACCACCCTTTTATGCTAGGAAATTGCCACAGAGTTTCCAATCTTCATGCATATGCATCAAGCTCCCTGCATACCTCAAGGTTTGGCAGAGTTTCCAATCTTCATGCATATGCAAACTCCCTGCATACCTCAAGGTTTGAGATAACAGGAAAAGCCAATTACCACAGAAACAGAACACAAACGTCGCTCCCTTTGCTAAAGTGGATGTTGCCCTGCATTTCAACTCAAATGATTTGGTAAAGTGTTTTACCTTCATCTTCATCTGCTGAGATTCTTGGTAGCTAACATGTATTTTACTCTGAAAAGTGCCATGCTCCTTTTCTAGCGTGTTGATACGTTCTCTCATTTTTGCAGTAAGCAAGCTGTTTCTCTCCTTTTCTGCAACCAGCTCCTTGGAAATTAAATGAAAAACAGAAAGAAAAGTCATCTACCACTCCCTTCTAATGGTCACATTGCTTTGGGATTAATAAAAAATGTATCTGCCAAATTAAACAGCGATCTTTTGTTGTCTCATTTTTACTGGGTTTGGCCAACTTAGAGAAAATCTTAACAACTAAAGCAACAGATATATTACACAAGGCAGATTTTAGATTTTCCTCCCAGATGTGGCAAAACACAAGAACTCAGGTAAAGGACTTTGACAGGACTACAGAGCATTTTAGAGCAAATATCACTTCACAGGGGTTGCAAAGTCAAAGTCAAGAATGGTTTTGCAGTACGAGCCAATAGCCAAACCAAGAGAAACCTTGAATCCCACTAGTAAGGCACCATCATATAGCTTTCAAATGAAAATAAACATTTCTATGTGGATGAATCATTTATTAGCCAGTAACTCAACCCAGACACTTGAGAAGTGCACAGAGCAGCTCCTCTGCAATATAAATGCATTTGCTGCAGGAGGCAAAAACTAAGTGCAGCTTTCAGTGAGCTCCTATCGCAGGGTGAGATATTTGGACCAGATGAGCTCCAGGTGCCTCCAGTTCCTCAGCACTGGCTCCTCATATTGCCAGAGGTTTCTCTAGAAGAGATTCAAAATCACCTACACTAGGAATCAGCCTCTCCGACAGCACAAGGAGTCTTGACAGATAATTTAAGTGCTCTAAATTAGTAGCCTGAACACCTTCCATCTCTTGATAGTTAATTATAGCTTTTTTTTCCCCTCACTTTTTAATTAAATAAAAGCTATTCTCTCTTTTTAGATGCAACTTATTACCTCCAGGAGGCTGTTCCCTCCAGAATGAGATAAGTGACATGAGTTCCCAAGCCCTTGCTCACAGAGCCCTTTAGGAACTTAAGTCACACTCAAAGTGCTAAGTCGCTTCTGAAAATAGAGCATGAAGAGTTTGACACAAAACCTTCTCAAAGTTAATATCATTATACATGCACCTTAGTAGCTGCAAGAAGAGCAAGGGCACTAGGATACCTTGTCTTTAATCCCCTGCCAGTTCTACCTCACCTAACCCGTGCGGGCAGAGCCAGAGCTCCAGGTGAGATTAACTTTCACTTAGCTGTGTTTGCCCAAACACTTCACAGGTCAGGCACCTCTTGCTCCCATCTGTCCTCTCTGGTTGTCACCTGTAGCAATATCTTTCTATGAACATCTCTGCACTTTTCCCTTCCCTAATGTCCCTCCATATCTTTTAAGAATGTCTTCAGAGAAACACATTAGTTACAAAATCAGTTTTTATCAGTCCTTGCTTGCTTGATCCTGATGATTTAGTACTACAGTGACTGAGCTTTTACCTATTTTCTCCCAGCTTTCAGGAACACTTTTAATGCTCTTTTCTCTTCCTTTCCTCAACTCAAACTGCAAAAGTCTCAAGATGATCCTGCTCCTCCTCACCTCTGCAAGCATCACTGTGCAGTCTAATGCCACTAAATCCACTTGCTCCACACCCTTCAAATGTTCCCTTTGCCTTTTCAGCATCACATACCCTCCTTTCATTATGCAGAGCCCAGCCAGGCTTTTTCCTCCTTCTCTCCAAATGACCTGAGTCTCTTTTCCATGCAGCTTGTGCTGACTACCCCAAGTCTCTCAACTCCACCTGCAAGGGCCCTACCCGCGCAGTGCCAGTAGCTCCCACAACTCACCTCCTCCTCATCTGCCAAGGTGCCCAATTCCAGGCTCTCCTCGCTAACCCCCAGCTTCCTGACCCCCATTTGTCCTAAAACACAACCATTCTGCCACTGGCTTTCCCAAAACATAAGCAAAAACACTGCAATAGCTCCATAATCACGTCTTCTACAGAAATCACTTTCCTCTGAAATCTTCACCAAAAAAAGGAAAAAGAAAAATCAAGTTTCATAAACTAGTCTTGACAATGACACATCAACATCCCTTTAAGTCCAAATCTAGCAGTGACGCAGCTCAAGGGACTAAAGCAGGCAATCTAAGCTTTCCATAGCTTTCTTCAAGGAGAAAAATGTTGATTTTCATGCCACGAAGCACACAAGGATGTGAAAGCAAAGCTAGCACATGCAGCAAATTAGAATTGGGACTCAGAAGAGACACTTAATATTTGCATCCACAAAGCCATGCTATATTCACTGTTTGTTTTTTTAAACATGCTATGCTTTGGTAAGCTTTTAAAATGCAAAAAATAATCTCAGCTTAAAAGCTTAAAAGTAAATGATCTGGAAAAACTACTGGGACGTAACTCTGCAAATAGCACTGGTGTCATAAAAAAAAAAGAAAACAAAATACACAATGTCTGGGTAAGTCTTCAACCTAAAATGCCCCTTGTGATTCAGACTGGTCTCAGCAGGCCCTCATTTGCCAGCTGTTATCGCTAAAGCCCTGGTCTCTACCCCTCTGCGTACAGATGTGTCTGTATTTACCTGGGTTAGCTGCTTGTACTGCTCCTTTGCAACAGCTGCCTCCTCCTTCACTGCAGCCAGCATCTTCTCTTTCTCTTGGAGCTGGTGGAGAGCTGCAGCCGACTCGGCCTTGCTAGCCTGCAGCCAGAGCACATGGAAATGGTCATGTCCCCTCAAAGTACTCCAAGAATGCACTAAGAGCAGCAGAGCAAACCTGAGAAGCTCATCCACACCCCTGCTTGCCCCCCTGATCCTTTGCCCACGTGGCATAAACACGGCACCACTGCTACCAGATTCTGCTAATGGATCTTGCAGGGGTGATTTCATTAGATGGGAAATGCATTTTTAAGTGCTCTAAAACCAATTAGGGGAATAAATGAGCTCTTAAGGTGCATCCGCCTTCCAAGGCGGGCGGTTTGTTGGCACTGGGGAAAAGGGAGAACTGCCATTAAGAGGAATAAAGGGAAAGTTAGAGATATGCTGAATCACTAAGTAACTGAGATTAGAAGGGACCTCCAGGATCAGCTGGTCCAACCCACACTCAAAGCAGGCCCAGTTTTGATAACAACAGACTTGACCTCCTGAAATCCCTTGCCACAGAGAAAAGGGTGCTGATGTGGCGTGTCCCTCTACCTGCTGACGCTCACAGCACTTGCCAGAAGAGTTTTAATTTAATTATACACGTAAGAGCAAGCAAATAGGCTGTTATTCTGAATAAAACAGGCAATAGAACCGCACTACAACACCGTAAGGTCTCCACATAAGCACTGAAACAGGGGCCCAGAGGGACTGTGAAATCTCCATCCTTGTAAGTTTTCCAGACCCACCTGAGCAAAACTCTGAAAGTGACTTAGTCTGAACTCAGCACTGACTGTTTTGAGCAGAAGACTGGGCTGCATTATGTCCCGAATCCCCTGAGTTATTACATTTTACACAACATGCTATTAACTGAATCAACATGTATTTTGTTCTGTATTTCCATTCTGGTACCATATCCACAGAAGAACAAAGTGCAAGATCTCAAGTGTGAGCAATAAGATGTTTTAAGCACAAAGGGACAATCACAAGAAAGACTTATAAAAGATAGAGGAGAATGCTGATCACCAATAAGTGCGAAATAAATAAATAAATAAAAATAAAATCAAGCATTGAGGCAGGTTGTACAGAAAGCATGCAGTTTCAACCCAAAAAGCTTTTTAAGGTCTTGAGCAACCTGGCCTGACCTCATAGCAGGTCCTGTTTGGAGTAGGATGGTGGACAAGAGACCTCCCCAAGTCACCTTGTGATCCCATGACAAACATACAAAGAAGGCCAAGGACCAGACTATATAGACTTACAAGACAGAAAGTCTTGCACGACCCAGAATTAGCTGGGAGAGTGCACGGAAGGTGTTTATTTTTTCTTCTTCTCCATTCCTACAATAGTTAATCCTTTTTACACATTTGTGCAAGGCAGCTCCCAGGGAAGTCACCACATTGACTGTTGCTGGCTGCGTTACGTTATGTTGGCACAAGGGAAGGCCACATCTCATACCTTGCACTCCGTGGCTTCATCTACTCCTCCTGAGGGTGAAAAGCCATCAGTTTGTCTAACCAACCCCTGGGATGACAGATGGCAGGACACAGATACCTGACAACTGCTCTTTGCACGTGAAGCAAGCACAAAACAGCTGGACGAAATCCTCCAAAGACATAAGGCAGAAACCGTAATGACACTTTGCTATAACTAATTTGACAGTGTCTCCTGCAATTTCTGCTTATTTAATGCTCTTTTCTCCTCCCTAATTACTCACCTTTTGTAAGACATCTTGAATTGCAGTGGACTTTTCCTTCAGCACCTCCACCACACAACGGGCCTCATCGTCAGTGAGGATCATATTCTTCATGGTCATTACAAAGTCTTTAAATTTGACTTCAGCATTTTCTGCAAAACAAAAGCGAGGATTTTCACACTGGAATGCACACAGAATTATTTATTTTGCCTCAAAACAGCATGTGATAGCGTATCATTATGTGTAGCATTTAATTTTAGTTTGAAATGCCAAGAATCAAGAGGTCATGAACATTTAGCAAAAACAACATAACCTAAGATTTAAAGTTGATAACAAACTGTCAGCTGACAATTTGGGGAAAAATAATCCTACCACTTTGTTTTTACAGTTGGTAACATTTATAATGTCACTAGAAATAAGACAAAGCACAACACAGACTTTTTTTTTTTTTAGAAAAATGAATGTGAAAACACATTGGGAAGGAATCTTCAAGTTATGACTATAATTTAAACTGAGCTCCCAATTTAAAGGGAAGCCTGGCTCCATAAGCAATATGCAAATAACAAGGGAAAGAATTTAAAAAGTGACACACTGAAAATGATGATGTATGGAAATGAGAAAAATACTCCAGTCTAAGGCTGGAAATTAATAGCTGTCGAAAGACTTTGAGTACACAAATTTATTAGGAAGATCCATCTTAATTGCAGACTCCATAAGTGTTTAAAAAGATGAAAGGCTGAACACAAATCAACTCAACTATTGTTCTTAGGGAGCAAATGCCTATTTAAAAAATGCACAGCTACACTTAGGCAAGTCATTAGGTGGCCCTCTAACTTAAGCAAATGGAAGCACAAGACTCTTGAGGCTCCTGTCACTTCTGTCAAATAAATACTCAAAACCGCACACAAAAATATGCCATGAGACTTTTAGAACAAGTTGAGTGTAACAGTGGTGCTTGATTCAGGTTAAAAAAAGGTATCCTGAGGATCACAGAGCTTTCTCACCACATGTACAGAGTGTGTCATGAAGACCAGCGCTCAAATCAAACCCGAATCTCTGCGGAATTTGCAAAACAAACACACAATTCAGAAGAAATGCTGGTGTTTTTAAATCCTTAAAAGCAACTACTCTGCACAAGAGCAAGGCACTGAATCACGGAGTCCAGGGAAGTGGGAGGGAGACACTGAGAAATTCCAGCACCATCTCCTAGTGCCAAATCCAAAGGGGTCTTGACCACAGACTTCGGCACCGACTTCGGCACTGACGCAGTTACCAGGAAAATTCCCAAATCCCACCAGCCCAGATTCCAGTTAGCTGGAAGCCAACAGGACCTTGGCATAGAACAACCTGCGCTTTGTGCTCCCTGAACTCGGCAAGAACTTTGCCCTTGCAACCAAGAGGCTTACAGTTAGGACAGGGAAAGATTTCTATATCGGGAGGGCAAATCCCAGCTGATAGAGAAGAATTAGGAGCTCAACTAGAAGGTTACAGCTTGCAAAGCAAATGAGAAGGGACGGGTGCACACGAGAGGCTTTGACCGCACGCAGCCATCCGAACTCGATGCATAAGAAGGGCCTCAGGCAGGGGAACCCGGTCTAGGTACCATGCAGAGTTGCCAGGAAGCTTTCGAGTGTGCATTTAAAAATTAAAAAACAAGTCTAAAAGCCGTGCGTCCAAACAGGGCAGTGAGCAGCCAGGCAGACAATGTTTGCAAGTCAACGCTCTGCACTAGCCTGGAGGAAAAGATAAAATAAAGTAAAAACTAAAATAAATCACTGCTTCAGATGGTCACTTGGACTCCCCACCACCACACCTGTGAGGGTCTCATGGCTTAGTAAGTCTGGCACACTTTTGTTGAAAACTTTTACAATTTTACAATTCTAGGCCTCCATATGAGAGTATGAAGGAAGCTGCCATTTCCTAACCAATTCCAACTGTGTTAAAAGGAATGTCAGAAGTTTTGGAGACCACCAGAGTCCTCATTCATGGGCAAGTGGCCTCGGGTACCTCTGTGCTGCATGCAGATTTACATGGCAGCTGGTCTGCCCAAGGGGGCTTTGTGAGCTGCAACAGCAAAATTCTCTGCTTTGGAGCCCATCACTGTCCTTGATGCCTGAATTACCTACAATGAACCAGCCCCTGTGCGTCTGCATGGCCAACAATCACCCACTTGCTCACTGTGAGGACACAAAAGCTGATGGTCAGTATTAAATGGATTCAGAAAGAGCAAAGCCCTTTGAACTGTGTCTGTGACAAGGGAGAAATGAGCACAGATAAGCAAGAATCATGTATTGCAGCCACAAATGTTTTTCCCAAATCAGAAATCCCAAGTGCTCCGTCTTGTCCATCCATTACCTTTATCAGTTTCATTCTTCAGTTTCTTGCTGCTGCTCTTCTGGATTCCCTCATTTATATTTTGCTTTGCTACTTCCACTGCTTCTCTCTTTTCCAAAGCACTGGCATCAGAATTATCCATCAAAGGAATATAAGTAGTTGGTTGAATAAGAGGTTCATCCACCAAAGCTGCAACAGAGAAGTCCAAGGGATGGATTAGAGTTATTTAATAATTAACTTGAGCATTTCAAAATGCTGCATAATACATCAGAGCTGGATTAAAACACTCTAACCTCAGTAGTTAGTTATTTATACTCATTTCTATTATACTTTGCAGCTTAATTCATTAAAGCTCTTCAGGTAAGTTCATTAAATGAAGGTCTCTAATGCACAGTAATTTAATAGCTTCAATTAAACTTACATTTTCAAAGCAGCCTTTTAGCATTTTAAAAAGAAACAGGGAAGAAACTTTACATTTTGACTTTCATTTCACTTTAATGAAAAGTTGCACGTAGCATCCACGAGGCTGGTTTACTTGCGGCTGCACATGAAGTAACTGCAGCATCTCTGAAGAACAAGTCAAGCCTCCTTTCACTGTTCTGCTCAATGCTGGTGCAGTGGTCAAGGCAGCAGTCAAGCCTGCTTCGTTAATGAAGATCTCACGTGCCAGAGCTGGCTTTAGGCATCATTAACATTCAGAGACACCCCCCGAGTACTCACTGCTCCTGGTCTCCATTCATGTCACACTGTATAAACCCTTGGTGAGAAGCAGCCCCTGCCCGAAGGGCTTTTCAGCCTGTGGGGCTGAGACAAAAGCACCGGAGGGAAGAGGAAGAGCACCAGGCCCGGGGGGAGATGCGGCCGGCAGCAGCGTGAGGAGAGGCAGCGCTGCCATCCGCTCGGAGCAACATGGGCCAGGTGGACCCTTGCTGGCACCTGGTAGACTCTCTCTTAAGTAGCTACACACAGTGCAGAAGTGCAGAGAATTTTCCTCTAGCAGAAGTTTCCTGCAACGCCTCCATTTATCATGCCCACTTTTGTCCTTCCTCTCCTTAATGCCATCCCTACCTTCACTTTCTCCAGCTTTCCCAAAGCACATGCAGTAACAGTGAGAGCCTTTAGTGGTATCAGTAGCATGTGGAATACCTGCAGCACTTGGCTAGTCCAGATGCCCACTACAGCTAATTTTACTCTGTATTTTTAGACAAAGTGCCTTTAGAGCAAAGCAAATTTTATTCAAATAAACCATTAGCTGTTTCTGTGCAGCACTGACAGTGCAACTTCAGCACTGTAAAAACACTCGAGTTACCCACATATGAATAAGCCCATGGTGCACAAAACAGTCCCTCAAAAAGGGACACAGGAATATGCCCTTGTCAAAGGCCAGCGAGAGGTGCATCAGGGAAAGCATAAGAGTGCCCACAAGAGACAGTTACGTACTAGCTTTCCCATTCCTGGATTTCTTTCTTGAAAGATTTGGGTTTTTTTTCTGTTGTTACAGCACACAGGAACCTTACGCACGACTTGGAACACCACTCTGCTCTGACCACAGCCCAAAGTTGACCCAGGCTCTCACGGCCTGACCATCAAACCATCAAAAGCCTAAAGGAAACAGCAACTGACCCTGCGTACACCAGGAGCCGTCCAGCGACTGCCAACGTCCTCCTAACTGTCCCAGCAAAGGAGAGTTTGGAGAGGCTAACAAGGTAGCCCCAGAGAGCCCCGCGGCGACGCTCTTCCCAAATGCTGGGGGACAAGATCTGTCATTGTGGCAGGCAGAACCGCCGGGGCAGACTGAGCCAAGAGGAGATGAGAAACAACATCTTGGCAGGGAGCGAGGGATGACGAACAGTGAGGGCCTTGACGGCGAAGATGAGCAGTGTGTGTTGGGGCAACAGAGAGCGAACAAAAGGACAAAGAGAGAGGAACGTGGTCAAAGCAAGCGGCTGGGAAAGGGCAGCCTTGTTTTGAGCAGATGACTGCTATGCTTACAGACATGCCCCGCTCGGAGCATAAGCTGAACAGGCTCCAAATTGCTCTAAGTCATAACAACATTATGCCTTGATTCAAGCAAGGATGTTTGGAGGCCAAGGCTCGGAAAGGTTTACAAGGTCGTCCTACATTCACAGGTGCAAGAGTTTCATAAAACAAAGAACAACATCTCAGGTGAATCAGTCTTTTAGAGAGTTGTTAAAACACCCCTCCTACCTGAAATTCCTGCATTTTCAAATTAAAAAGGTTTTCTTATATGAGTTTTTTTTTCCCCCACCAAAGAAAGAGAAAGTAAGGTAGAGGTAGCACAAAATTTTAATAGGGAGGCTTGTCTGAATTCATGAATAGCTCTCAGGATTCTCACCGTTATCAACTTTCTGTTTCTTTGCTGAGACTTTCTTCTTTCCCGAGACATTTTCTTGCTTTATCTCTTGGTGGAGCAGCACTGGGTCTTGCTTTTTGGCAGGAGACGGAACAGAATCAGTCTTAGCATCTTGATCATCTGTAACAGAAAATTAAGACAATATGCTCTGCTGTATATTCTCATCATCACCTTTAGAGAATCCAGCGAATTTATAATAATCGGTGAAAAGCCCTCCCAGAGGAAAACCATCTCATGTATATTAATCAGAACACAATGTTAAATATGTACATACACAAGCAAACACATACACTTCCCATATTAGATGACAGCCCAAAGCAATAGAAAAGTTTAGCAGAGTCAAGCAGATCAAGGGTCACTACAGTTAGTGTTTTGACAGATGAGGAATTTTATGTGCAAGCAGAACGTGTAGCAGTGAAACTAATGATTTAACAAATCCAGTCCAGGTTTTTCTGCAGATTGGAGAGCATGGGTCACACATTAGTTTCTCATTTGCAGAAAGTATTTTCCCCCCATCATGAACACACTTAAAACAATTTACACAAATCCCCAATAGATACTGGGACTGCGAGAAGCAGAAAATACATGTTCCCCATTGGAGAACTGTTCTTTTTAAAAGTTATTGTTACTAGCCAGAGATTTTTCAATCTTTTGGGCTAGTATAAGCTATGTAATATTCTTGTCAGAGCTGGCCACACACAATACAGGGTTATGGTATCGGCTCCTGTAATCCAAGGATAAGAGTTAGTTGTGGCTGCCCTCAGAACAGGGTTTGCAGGCCACATTTTAACCACGCCACAGAGATTTTGAAGAGAACACCCACGATTTGGCACTTTTGATATTGGTGGGTGGGTCTTTCTCTCAAGAGAAAAAAAAATGCACCACATCAGGCAGCAGTGTCTTTTTCCTCACTCCTTCTAGCGATCCTATGTCTGCCCCTAAGAAATAAATACCCTGCTTTTATTTCAGAACATGCATCTTTCAAACACTTATCTCTCTGTCCTTATCTGGATGCTCCCTTCTGCTGAGGATATGATCAAAACAGCCAAATGACACTCCTACCATGATTGACCATCTCTTCAAGGTTGGATCAACCAGTTACAGTGACTCTATCAGTTCTTTTCATATCACTTCTATTTGATTTTAAGAGTGCAGTAGGTGGGAACCAACTGTAAATACTTCTTCACACCAACTCCGCCACCAAACACCTCTTTTTACGTTAAACCTGCACTTAAACAGTAATTATTTTGCATGCTCTGGTGCTGGGTTTTCTAGATGTCTTTCTTTATCAGAGCAACCATTCTCATACGAGCTCCACTTTTTCAAGGATTGCCATCAGAACGCAAGCAATAAACAGTTAATGCCTTCTCTGAGGTAATCAAAATTTTGACAGCTTGAGAGCAAAGTAGACAAACCATACAGCAAAGCAGAGATAAGAGCTACTCTCTTTCCCTCAACAGCTTTTGGAAGGAGAAAGCAAGTACGGGAGGTGGAAAAAACAGAACAGTGCTGCCAGATGAAGACAAGAGAAAAAGCAAAAGCTCTGTAATTAAAAAGAAAAAGTTAGAAGTGAGCTTTGCCCATACAGCTCAGGTAGGACAGTTCTGAGAAAGAGACACTCTGTGGCCTTGCCAAAAGCAGAACACAGTTTTGGCGTTCTGTGCAAAAAGCGTATGCAACAGGAGATACCCATGCCATTTTTCTGCTTCTTCTGCCCAGGTTTCTTCTTAGATGCTGTTGATTCAGCTGGTGGAGTGGGCTGTTTTGTAACAGGGACTGGTTCTACTTTCTTGCCTGAAGACTTGGATCCTTCCGAATCCTTAGTTACATGATCATCTTGAACCGCCTTATGCTTCTTCTCCTTCTTCTTCCGCTCCCTAACACCGCTGGGCGCCTCGGCCGCGCTCAGGGGCGCCGGAACGACGTGTTCCTCATCCGTGCTCAGGGCATCAGAGAGTTTGAAGTCCCGAGGGGTACTTTCAGAATCAGATTCATGGATGTTCCCATTCTGAGCTTCTTTCTTCTTGTTCTTCTTCTTCTCCGTTTTCTTTTTATCGGTCTTGGCAGGCGGAAACTTTTGGTCCCTTTTCTGTTTCGCGAGGACTTCATCATACAGCGTTTCCTTCATGAAAAGCCAGAAGAAGAGGAAGATGACGGTAATCACCACGGAAGGGATGAGGATGATGAAGTAGGTAGACTCGTAAAACTCCATTGTGCAAAAATTAGTCTTCTGACCAGGCTTTCAAGATTTCCCACACACACTTATAATAATAAACGAGACTTTGACATTACTGCTTTAGAGAAGCCTTAAAATAGCTTTAACGTAATTATTAACTAAATCCATCAGGCAACAACTTCTGCAGCCATTTACCATTTGCTTAGAAGTTGTACACCAGCATAGGAAGGACCTGTAGTTTTAAACATTGACAGTCTTGAAGGAGGCCAGTTTTCCTCCCTTTCCTTACTTTCCCCATTCCTTCCCTTCCCAGGGGAATTTCATAAAGCTACAGCTTCTGAAATCACAGACACACTGGACAGCACTTTAGGAAGCTGTGAAATAGGGACCAGCAGCACAACACCTGCTTTGCAATCATGTCCTTGTACCATAAATAAAACACTATGAATTAAGTTTTTTTTTTTTCTTCATCTTGGCAAAAAAGGGAAAGCCAAATTTCAGTTTCCTTTCGCTTCGCGATTTATGACAGTTTCAGAAGTAACATGAAGGGAAGAAGAAAGAGAACCCTAGATTTTAGTCAACCATAAAGACTCAGATATTTTCAAAAATGTTTTTTGAAGTCCAGTGCCCAACTTTAAAACCGTGAAGATTCCATACATTTACAGCATGCAACAGCATACAATTTTCAGGAGACCACATGAAACCAGGATAATTTGCTGAAACACTAAGCTTAGAGCACTAGATAACAATAATAAAAATAAATAGTAAAAAAGCAGGGATCAGAGTTTTGGGGCCAAGACTTGACAAGCTCCCCCATTTCACAACAATAACTATGAACAGCCTTTGTAGGAAAAAAAAAAAAAAAAAACAGAGCAGGATGAAGACAGAATTCAGAACCTCTCCAGACCATTTGTTCCAAGGAAAAACCACACCGATCAGTGAAAACCAAGACCACAATTCCAATTAGTGCAATTAAAGATTCCTGGAAGCTGAGTCTTCCATGGCACCCCTAAAACTGGGGATGTGCAGCAAGGTCTCCAAGAACTTGGAGCGGGATAAAACAAACTCATTATACCTGCAGATGCCCCAAAAGGAGAGAATCTGCACCCCGGCCTCCACAAAAAGCCAAGTTCAGACCCCCTGGACCAAATGTGGCTACGGAGAGCCCAGGAGCAGAGTGTCCACGTGGCCCAGGCTCCCTGCACCTCTTTGCTTGCTCCCAAATCCCTGTGTTACACCTGTGTGATTCTTACATCACCTCCAGGACAGGCTGGAATCTGCTATCAGGAACCGGGACGGGACCCGGCACGGCTCAGAGCCCGGCTCTAGCTCAGGAGGGAAAAGCTGTAACAGGCAACGGCTTCCAGATAGAGAAGAGTTACTAAAATAATAAATGTATACATTGTGCAAAAGCAAGAAGTCAGAACTCTACTTTGGCTATTAAATTATCAAAATAAGAACCAACTTATCAATACACTAATAATTCAGTTGTCTTAACACTAAGTCCCCTCCCAGTTGGGGTTTATTTTCGGCACATTCATGGCTCACCAAGAAGGCTCATGTTGGGAACTAGATGAAGCACAGAAGGTTTTGGCAGGGCTGGATGGAGGGAGAGCTGGTCTGTTTTGGAGAAAAGCTTAAGCACTTTAAAGGTGGAGTTTTCCAAATGATTAATGACGGCTTCTTGATAAAACCAACTTCCCGCACTGCTAAATGACCTAATATTAGTTATCACTTGAAGGAAGCAGATCTTGAGAAATTTGTGTAAGCCAAAGTCAACAGCGAATGCTTAGGGGAGAGCTAATCCCCAAAGCAAACACGTAATTAAGTTGGTCATTAACCACATTACTGCAACAACCACGATAGGACCCAGCTAGGAGAGCCCAGCAGAACGTGGCCCCTCCATCCCTTCCCAATGTCCCCATCCGTCCCCTGGCCCTCCCTCCCGTTTCCCTGTCGGGCCTCCCCTCCCTGCACCTTCCTCCTCTTGTGCAACAACTCGTTTGCAATTCCCTGGCACTGGGAAAATAAAGTTCCACCAACGATGCAGCCCAGGGGCTTGGCAGATTCGGGTTCCCAGTTGCATAAGCCCTGCAGATCTCCCCTCATCATCGCCTCTTTAAGAAAAGGGGGATGCCAGTGTTTAATTGTCCTTAAATGCTTTAACCAGACCTCAAAAATTCCCTGGAAGTCAGAATTAAAACGTCTCTTCCCAGAGAGCTTGCATTCTATTTGCCAGACGGATATATATGGAAAAACTAGGGATGCCTCTGATTTTTGAATATCTGAATACAAGCATAAAGAAGAAAAATAGATATATCTCTACATACTACATATTTAGAGTTATGGATTCATCTCCCTAGGTTTCTGCTCCTGTTCTGCACTTGCTCAGAGCGAAACACGAGCAAGAGCAATGCATCCACCACAAACACCTTCATCAGAGGGCTGCAGAATCGATCCCTGAAGTCTGAAAGGGAATTCCACAATACAAAACCAGCCAACCTTCCTCACACGGCACCATGGCTCCAAAGGTATTAAGTAAAAGATGCAACCAGAGCGGAGCAAGCACATGTTGCAAACAGCAAATGAGAACGCCGAGGTGACAGCAACGCTCTAGTTTCCCACCACAGCCCTGTGCAAGCAAAGGGTTTAAAAATCCCTTCATTTAAAAATCCCTTTGGGAAGCAGAGTCTCGTCGCTGGCTCATAAGCGGAGCAGGGATCTGAAGGCCTTTGCTGTCAAGCAGCCCTTATCAAAAGGACATCCCAGCCACGGGGTAAGCAGGAGCGCGGTGCCTGCTGCACGGCCTGCACCGTCCTCTGCCTACGCGCAACAACTAAACCAATTTCTCAGTTCCTGTTTCTACTTCCCTATGGGTTGACAAAACATCTAGAGAAAAAAAAAAAACAATAAAAAGAAATGACCTAAGCGGGCAAAGGGGGAAGCTGCTTCTATTAATGCAGTGAAAAGTGAATGTTGAGTTAAACTCCTTCACCTGCCTCCCTAGCTTTTCACTTTTCTGCTCCTCCCATTTCCATTAGCTACAGAAACAGGAGACACCCTTGTGGAGGTAGCGCTGCTCTTTCCCATGAAAGATTTTAAACTTGGTCGTAGTTAACTTCTCACCATTCACCCATATCAAATAATTCACCTGGAAAAAGCAAGGAGCAGCATCTTATAGGCGTGCAGGACAGCAAAGCAGCCAGCCTGCTTACCCAAAGCCCAAGTCATCGCCTCCACTTAAAGACTTACTCAGAGCCAGTTCCTAAATTCAAGAACCCAAACACATCCTTTTAGTCACTGGGAAAAGGGGAACAAGCCACGTCTGTCCCCATCCCGGCACTGACTCGGTTACTGTTCTCGTCTAACAAAAGAATTGCACTTTTGTTCCCTGAAACAGAGGCTGCGCCACCAAAAGTAACGAGTTCTGAACTCAAAACAGCAAATTATTCCTCATACCCGACCTCCTCTGCCCGTCAACGCGGAGTTTCACCCCCCACCCAGCCTTTCCACATTTAAAACTCGAGTTGCACTCTGCAGATACCACCTTTTGCTGGATATTCATGTGGTTTTGAAGTCTATGGGATTAAGCGACTTGAAGACAGAAATAAATTATAGCTCCATCTGGCTAATGAGTCACCCTGAGCTTAGCCCCAGCACGTTAGCAGCACAGCTTCTATAAATGCCTAGATCAAGACGCGTGTAATCCCCCCGGATCTGTGCCTCTCAAAAGCAACAGCAAAGGGGGGAAAATACATATATAGCAAGGCCATTTGGGGGTTTTATTTTCCTCTACCCAAAGCTATTTAGGAGCAAGGATTTTTTTAGCTCCTTTAGTGAGGGTGTTTTCCCTGGATTTCTCTTACCCATCGGCACGAAGCTGAGCAGCGCAGCAAGGGATTTATCCCAGGAAAGGGCTCCGGCCTCCATGCAGGGTCCTCGTGCTGCGCCACGAGTCGCTTGAGCAGCAAAGCGACCCAACAGCCCTGGCGTGTGACCGTCACTGGGAAGGCAGCAAAACGCCTCGGAGGAGCGTCCGGATCGAGCAAATTCCTCAAAAAGATAACACTTCTATGAATCTGTGCGCAACTAGCAACACCCTCCCTATTAGCCAGCTGCAAAGGCAACCTTGAAAACGGTTTCGCTCCCAAACTTATCTTCCCGTGTAGCTCCTCGGGGAGGGAATGTCCAGCGATTTGGGCTGTGGGAGAGGGGATAACCCGCAACGGCCGCAGGTGCAAAGCAGAATTCACCCAGTGAAAATTTCACAAAGTGAAATTCACACCGGCTCATCATCCGGGTAGGGGGAACGAGCAGCGCCGAGGGCAGCTCGGCCACCGGCATCGACCCCACGGCCATGCAGGGAAAAGGGAAAAGGAAGGAGGGCTGCAGGAACACCTGGAGACAGCTCCTCTAAAGTCAGTCCTGCTGCATTATTAGGGGAAAAAACTGCAAAATTGGAATAACTTAGGCTTTTTTTTATTCTAATGCAGTCTTATAGCCTTGCCAAGAACAAGGGGTGTCCTTCGAGCAGAGCTAAGTCATCCTGCCCATCTCCACTCCAATGGCAAAGTATAGCCTTCTTTTACCCCTACACTCTTTAAACTTGACTTTTAGAGCAAAGTTTACATGCTCTGTTTATACAAGTCCTTTTCAGAAGCGCGAATTGAAGGGAAGCAAAATAAAGGGCAGCTCAAATCCCGAGTTTTCCACTTAAACACCTGTGCCGACAGCACGATTTACACAGTAACAGCAGAAAGCCTTCAACACTCCAAATACAGACCCATCTGCTCCTATATTAAAGCTGTTGTTATCTGCCAAGGAGACGTGCTCAGGTCGAGCCCAGCAGCGCTCGCAGCCCCTGTGAGCCCTCACTGGCCACGGGAAAAGGCGGCTCATCCCAAACCCCCGCGCTCCATCACACCGGCACGACCGAGCCGCCGGCCTTCGCGTGCCCCTAGGTAAATATTTCCCATTCCAAGCATGCCGCTGCTCCCACCATCTGCCAGGCTCCGTCTCCTCTCGGTTGCTCTACG